TTGCCTACCCACCTCCATATCCACCCCTTCTTCACACAGCCCGCATACACCAGGGGAACGGGTCCCCACATCTAGTTTCTGGGGAGGTCCCTGTTGAGCACAGCCGGTCAGCACATTTCCATTCACCTGAAGACAGTCACTGCTTTGCCTGGGGACCTGGGGTTTGAGCCATTCAATCAGAGGTTGCTTCCTCTTCTTCCTGGAGACATTATTGTCCTGACTGAGCCACCAGGAGAGGAGAGGAGCCAGCCCTGGATTAAGGCCACTTTGCAAGGCAAAGCTCTGCATATATTTTAGAGCAGCTGGTACTAATGTAGAGACCCTAACAAAATTTTTTTTAAAAAGTGACCACTATGTATCTTTTTTTCAAAGTACATATATCTCGATATCCTCCTAATACACCTTTGCTTATAAACTTCTAACTTCCAATTATGCAATGCCCCAAAGCAATAGGCTAGAGCAAAAGCATGTCACCTCTGCCTTTTCACCTTTTCAGTCACTGACTCCTGGGAGTGTGGCCATTAACTAGCTGGCATTTTCAGCTTGTTCTAGAAGTCTAGGACCAGGCATCTAGTCTTCACACACTAAAATCAGGATTGGATGGCTCCACTCCAGGAGGCCAGCTGCAAGTTCTCTTCTAGTGAAACAAAAACCTTGGAGGGGCACGCACAGTTCAGTACCCTGTGCTCTTGTAATCACGAGAGGGACAAATGCTGCAAAGTCCTCTTGGCCGATGGCCGGAAGCACACATATCTCACGGGAGCAGAAGAGATTGAGAGGCTGCATCCCGATGAAGCAATATTGAACTAGAAAAGGTTTCTCTGCAAACGATGCACCCCTGGCCTCTGCCAAGCAAGGGCTTCTCCAGGTTCCGTTTCTCAGTTCTGCTTCCGGGCGTTTTTGTCACCAATGGTGGCCAAGAAGCTGGAAGCAATTCCTCATTTGCAAATTGAGAAGCAGATTTTTATATGAAAAGAGAAACACAGTCAATATTCCTCTTCTGTCTGCTTTTAGGAACATTCCTGACCATTTCCTTTCCTGGAACTTTCCAAGTAGAAGCCAGTGGTTTCCTGGCCTCTGAGGCCATTCTGAGAGGTCTTGAAGCCGGGGAAGGAGAAGCAGAGGGCATAATGGCTTCCAGTTTGGCCCAGGCAGCTGTGACCTGGTGAGCTGGGGCTGGGAGGCAAAATAACAAAATAATCATGGCTAACATTCTCTGAGTGCCACATGGGCCACACTCTGCTCCGTGACTTCCATCTAATCTTTACTACCAGGCACATGTTATAAGCAAGGAAACCAAAGCACAGAGGACACAAACAAGGTCACAGACAGCCAGAAAATGCCACACCAGTGTTTAAACCCTAACAGTCTGACTTCTGGATCTGTAGTATTAGAGACAGGATGAAATCTAATCAGTGATCAGGTGCAGGGATGCACACCTGTGATCCCAGTGCCTTGGGAAGCTGAGGCAGGAGGATTGCAAGTTTGAGGCCAGCCTCAACAACTTAGGTCCTGTCTAAAATATATATATATATATATAGTGGGAATGTAGCTCAATGGTAGAGCTCTCCTATTCAATCCCCATACCGTCCCCAGCTAAAAAAGAAAGCATATCAGTGGGCTTGAGCCTCAGAGCTCTCCCCAGAGGACCTAGCTTAGAGAGGAAGAGGGCAGCCAGGGGAGTCTGTGAGAGTTGCACCTGGTGGTATCTCTTTCTGGTTCGCAGAGCCTTTCTGGTTCACTTGGGATGATTTGAGTTTTAGACAAGTATGTGTGCTCAGATTGGGTCATTACCTTTTATTTTGTCAAGTAAAGACATTTTTAAAAAATGTTTACTTTTTTATCTATATAAATTTTTATTTTTTATTTTTTGGTACTGGGGATTGACCTCAGGGGCACTCAACCATTAACTCACATTCCCCAGCCCTTTAAATTTCTTATTTTGAAACAAGGTCTCCCTGAGTTGTTTAGGGCTCTGTTAAGTTGCTGAGGCTGGTCTTGAACTTGTGATCCTCCTGCCTCAGCCTCCCGAGTCACTGAAATTGTAGGCGTGCACCTAGGCGTGCACCTGTGCACTGAGCCCAGCATAATCTTTAAATTAAAAAAAACTTCTAACATCACTGTTTCATAAATGTAAATAAATATTATTTCATAATTGTATAATTTAGTAATTTCACAATATAATTAATTTCATGGGTGCAATTTCAATGCAAATAAACACCAAGAAAGACACACTTTTGGAGGGAAGTTCAGTTCTTTATTTTATTTTTTTTCTTTTAATATTTTTTTCTCTCTCTTTTTTTTATTATTGGTTGTTTAAAACATTACAAAGCTCTTCAAGTTCAGTCCTTTAACGTCAATAAACTCACCTTTGCAGAAGCCTCCCTCCATTGTCCTCATTCTCCTCATCTCACTGTGTGCTGGTGAAGGGATCTTTATAGGGGGCTCCTATTTAAGGATCCCTACCTGGGATCACAGTGTTGACTCACTTGATCCTCACAAACCCTCTGCAAGGTACACAGGGAGAGTCTTATTCGCCCCCAGTCTATTCAGGAAAAAAGAGAAGCCAAGACTTGTTTAAAGACATGTAACTTTAAAAACGGCAGGACCAACCCAGGTGCAGTGACACACACCTGTAATCCCAGCAACCTGGGAGGCTAAAGCAGGAGGATTGCAAGTTTGAGGCCAGCCCCAGCAACTTAGTGATACCCTGTCTCAAAAAATAAAAAGGACTGGGGATGTGGCTCAGTGGTGACTCCAGGTCCAGTGGTCTTTCCTGCCATACTTCAAACCATTTGTGGGATGAACTGGCTGTCCACTGTTTTGGTTCCTGGGTCAGGACCCGAGTTCACAGAGAGAAGGAGCATTCACAAGTGTTTCCCTTGACTGGGCTCCGAACCCCGGTGCAGCCCGCCCAGAGGAATCAGGCAGGTGTGAAGCCCCTTGAAGGCAAGAGGGAGCGTGCCTTCCTCTCCTCCTTAAGCCTGGGCTGGCACAGGGATGGACCCCCAGGGCTGGTAAGGAAGCTTCGAAGATTAGAAGTGAGAGTGGAGTTTTGATGCCAGAGTGTTTTTTTTTTCTTTTAACATTATTATTTTGTAGAAAGGGAGGAAGGAAAAGCGATAATCAACTCAGACACAATTTGAAACAGTGCTATAAAGGAGGATGGGAAAAAGGCTGAAGTTCAGAAAACATTTGATAGGGGCACCCTGAGCAGTGGGTCGGAGGGAGGCAGAAAGAGGAGGCTTCTCCTTGGAGGGAAAGGGAGGATGGCAGGAGAGTAGAAGCCCTGAATGTGGCTTCCCACTGTGATTAGCTTGAAGACCCTGCATGCTTCTGATGATGGCCTCCAGGGCCTACAGGCCTGGCCCCTGCTACTGCTGTAGTGATTTCTGTGTGCCAGCCACATTTTCTCAAAGATACCCCCATGGGATCCCAGCCCCAGGGCCTTTGAAGAAGATGATTCTGCTTCTGAGAAGGGCTATTCATTCTTTCATGACTTTCCTGATTCCTATGTACCAACTAGATGGGTGGCTAGCTCAGAGCCACATCAGCCCACCTCTGAAAATGGTAAGCATTTAAATATATCCTCTGTATGCAGGGTCCAGAGCCAGGACCTGGGGCCATCAGGTGCTCATGAGGCCCATGGGAGCACCAAGGAGCCTGTCCTGGTGGAGTCACCATCCTGAACTTTCCTTCAGATCTTTGTTACAGTCTGCAATTATGTATCTGGATGATTACTTGATTAATGTCCTTCTCCCAACTAGATGGCTTTATTTTTACTGGCCATTCTATCTGTAGCCTCACATGGTGCCAGAGACCTGGGGGGTGCCTTCTAAGTGTTACACAGCTTTGAGGGCTGCCTGGCTGTATGGCTGGCATTTTGCTTTCAACTTGCAGCACGGTTCTGGGGAATGAGGTGGGTTGGAGGTTAGAAAGCTTTTCCTGGTTGCTCAAGACTGGATTTTCTTCCTAGTCCAAGGTTGATTACCCACTGGCTTGAGGTTCTTCAGTGCTGATGACAAAGTATTTGTCACCTGCTGACCAGAAAAGAGCTTGGACTTTTATGAGGAGTGCTTTGAGCCTTGCAGTTTTGATTCTTCCACCCTTGGGGATGAGGGGTGAGGCAGGAGCGCCCTGAACACATGTAGTTCTGTATTAAGCCACTGAGGGGCAGTGTTGCTCCACAAGGAAGACTCAGCTGGCCGCAGCCATCACCGTGGGGCAGACAGGTCCCGGTGATGACACTAACTAGCATTTATTGAATGCTAACAGTGTGTTCACCCTTTAGAATCTCTAATTCAACAACCATGTTGTGATAAACCCTATTTTAAAATTGAAGTAAAGAGGATCTGAGAGATTCAATAAAGTTTTCATGATTAGTACATGGCTAAGCCTAAATTCAGGCTCAGATCTGCCTAAATCCCAAACCCAGTGCTTCCCCCTGCTCTCTGTCATGATGGTGTTACGCTCGAATTCAGGACCCCCAAAAGACCACCAGAGACCAAGATTGATGTAAGCAGCAAAAAGGTGTTTATTGCGAGCTAGCTCGGTCCTCTGCGCGCACACAGCAACTGGTGGCGCTGAGAGACCCCGAGCCCAGGGTTTGCAGCAGTTTTATACATTCTTTGGAGAAGGCATGGACCCCCACATACATCATAGCATCTCTTAGCAAATCATCACACACCGCGGGAAAATCAAATAGCAACTCTAAAACATGATTAGCACATTCACTGGCGGGAACAAGTTGGGTAGAGGGGATTGGTCACTACAAGAGGGGGACTCATTTGAACTGATTGGTTTAAGCCAAGAGGGGTGTACATGCTGAACTACATGGTTTCCCAACACATTATCAACCACCATAAACTACTGGGAGGGTCATCTGGCATCCCAGGTATTTCCCTGTCTCATGCTGATTGGTGGCTGCTAGGGGGTTGCTATGGGTCCCCACCTAGCCTGACTGAGTCAGGGACACCTGGCGCAGCAGATCTCTCCTGTTATTTGTAGATAAACAATTTAGCAGGGTGGGAATGTGCCTAGGAGTGCTCTGTGGGTCTTTCAAGGACAAAGGTCATGTCCTTTCCTTGGACAGGCTTTGCTCTGAGGTAGAGGCTGGTTTTTCAATGGCACATCTTTTTGAGCTTGTCTGTCTAAAACCACCTGCCAGGGCTGTACCCAAAGCACAAATGGCTCAATGTAGCCGACTTTTGATTATCTAAATTAAAATGGGAGCTACTGACTTGGGTCTCAAATTGGGTCTCAAATTTTTTAAATGGGTTATTAAACTGCCAGTTTTGACTTTGGAGACGGTAATTCTGCATGTGTGGGGAGAAAGGAGGGATAACAGATCTGCCCTTCCAGAGCCCTCTTTTCCACCTCATTCTGTTGTCCCCAGCCCTCACCCAGCTGCCAGATCTAATCAGATGGCTCTTGCTGTTGTCCCTCAATGGCACCCTGTGCCTTCCAGGGGAAAGCCCCACTCCTTAGCCAGTGCCAGGTCTTTCACAAGCCGGCACCTGCTGTGCTGCCTTATTTCTTCCCCCACGTGTTCACAGGGCACTGTCACCTCCAGCTGCCAAAGCCAGGAGGCTCAGCCCACCTTGGAGTTCGTCCTCCCCCAAAGAGGGGGAGCCGTGCCGCCTGCCACTGCACTGTTTATGAGGAAGATCTACACCTGTGGAGCTCTTGCCACGTGCTGGCCCATAGTGGCACATAGAGGCTCACTGTTAATGCCCCCGCTCTTCCTCAGCCCTTGCAGACATACAAGTACAACACAGCCTACCAAGGGCAGTGCGCGCATGATCACACCCGGTACGGTATGATACCTGGCTGACCAAACATCTCCAGTCATCAGCAAATGTCACCGGGGTGTTATTTTGCTCAAGCTGACACCAAGGAAGGCATTTCCAAGACTACCTTTCTCCTGTGCCCATGGTGAACCCCAAGGAAAATAAACACCACCTAAACTCCTAGATGCTAAATTCCTTGAGGGTAGGGACAAAGTTAGGCTTCTCTGGGTGTTCCCAGAGGTTCAACCACGCTTTGGGTCTTCAGTGGTGTCTCCAGGAATAATATCTCGTCTATAATGATTGATGGAGCACATGAGGAGCTGTAGGCAGGTCATTTCAGGGTATTATCATCTGAAACAGAGATGGCATTGTCTTAAAAATAGCACACATGGCTTTCTTCTTCCTATTGCAGTAGCAGTTGGCTGTTTCGAACCACAGGGCATTAGACCAACAAAGTCATGAGGCAGTGGCTTGAGTTTGCAGGCTTTGGACTAGTAGGAATGATGGTACTCGGACACAGAAATCTGTGGGACCCAGCCCCTTGGTTTTGAGCTCCCAAGAGCAGTCTGGGCCCAATTTCTCCACCCAGTTCTCAGCTTTCTTTCTTTCCTTTTCATTTTTTTCTTTTTCTTTTTTTTTTTTTTTTAGGTCTAAAGAGATGTAAATGACCCTTAGGCAAAAGCTAAGAGTTGTCTCCCTGGTTTCAGAAACTCTCCAAACCAGACAGACCAGGATCTTGGAGCTCAGCCTCTTTCAGGAAAGGTTGGATAAGAAGTAGGGATTCGCCCTCAGCCTGAACTCCGCTGGCTCCACCCCACTCTGAGCCCCACCTCTGGGTTCCAGCTTCCTCTATCCACTGCCACATGGAGCCTACCTGCTCTGGGTTTGCATGCCAGGTAAATTTTCTGATCAACATTCATTTGCCTATTCCCGAACATGACTAAAGATCCTGGCGGGTTGATTGTTCTGCCTGTTGGTGTTCTCAAAAGCCAAAGTTGTCAAATGGCCTTTAAATATTATAAGCACCATATATACAGATCATTCTTGCCTCTAGTTAGCTCAGTAGCATTATATTCTATATTATATGGCATTCAAACTATTTGGGTGGCCTTGTGTTCTTTATCTCCTTCAGAATCACAGGAAAACTGATTGCTATTGTTCCCTTAATTGACTGCTCATAATCACCCTGCGAATTAGGGGTAGGGTGAAATCTCTGGCTCTTATGTCAGCAGCCTTGAGATCCAGGCTCCTTTCAAGCTCTGTAGTAGCCCCTACAGGGCTGCAAAAGCATGTGGGCAGATGCAACCGGCCAGGGGCTGGCCAGCCAGGAAGAACCTCTTATGTGGGAGGCAGCTACAAGCCTGAGACTCTGGGACCCCGGGAAGAGTTCCCCAGCTTTCAAATGCCCTCTATTCTTCCTGAGAGAATAAAGCCTTGTAGTCCAAATTGAGAAACCTGGGTGTAAATTCCTCTCTGCTCGTTACTGGCTGTCAGAACTTAGGTAGGATATAACCTCTCCAAGACCTTGTGTAATCATCTGTTAGGTGAAGATTATATAATACCTGTTTTATAGGGTTATGAGGATTAAATGTTTCTAAAATGCACACAATGGGTTGAGTTCCCTGCCTGCCTTATACTATGTAACAAGTGGCTGTTACCGTAAATGGGCAGATGGTTGGTTGTGTGTGTTTTATGTTTTTTTTTTTTTTTAACTTCTCTGGGTTTTCAGCAAATTAACATTGCTTTTGTAGTTAAAAAAAAAAAATATATATATATATATATGATTTTTTTTTCAGGAAGAGCTATTTTAATTTTCTATTAAACATTCTTCTAAAAGGCATTATTTTACCTCATCTCGGAGTTGTAAGAAATAACATTAGCATTAGAAAAACTAGGAAGAAAGATAAGTGCAGGTAATTAATTAAACTAAACATATGAAGAATGAGAAGGACAATAAAAAACTGAGAGCCAAAATAATATGAAAATATAATTTGAAGACTGTGTATCTCAAAGGAAACTTTATTTTTTCAATTATTTTAAACAATGGTGTTTTAAGACTTTTTTAAAAAAGACTCTTAACTCTGATTTTTCAAAAGGAAACCATTTAAAAATATATTTATTTTAAAAATAGGCCTGTCTTCAACTATTGATTTTCTGCCCAAGCTCTAATCATATAGAAAGTTAATTTAATAAAAAGTGAAAATATCCAGACACATGGTAAAGGGGAGATACGATTCAACTTTATAATAGGACTAAATAAGGCTTAAATTAAAAAAAAAAGAAAGAAAATAAAAGGAGAGCTTGCAAGAGGTAATATGTAATAACAAATAAAAATTAAAAAAAATAAATATGAGTGGCAAGGAAAAGGGACATAAATATAGCATGGCCATCTTATTTTTTTTTTCTTTTTCTCCCAATAAAAGACATTTTTGAACTACAAAAAAGAAAAAAAATTAAATTAAATGAAAGCAGGACTGTTCTAGAGAGAAAAATGGTAGTATGTATGTGTGTGTGTGTATTTTTTTATCCCGCCACCCCAGTACTGGGGATCAAACCCAGGGCCTCACACATGCTAGGCGAATGCTTTACCACTGAGCCACAACCCCAGCATATCCCAGCCCTTTTAAAATTTTATTTTGAGACAGGATCTTACTAAATTGTTCAGTTTTCTAAGTATTATAGGTATGTGCCACTATGCCCAACTTAGAACCTGCATTTATTGAATACCTACTCTATGCCTATTACTCTATGAATATTTTTGCTTAATTTCAATAATTATCACAGAAACCCTATCAGCCAGGTTTTTTCATATCAGCTACATAGCCCCATTTTATAGATGAGGAAACTGAAGCCCAAATTCAGTTAGTGGGAATTGGATCCAGATCTGATTCTCAAGTCTGCAGTCTTTCCAATAGCTCTTCAATAACTAGGAATGGGATGAGGGCAGGATGCTGGTGGAAGGGAGGAAGCATAGAAAGCAGGGAGCCAGGTTTAAGAAAGTCAGGTGGGCACAGAGGAGGTGGGGTGGGAAGGCTGTCATGTGGTTCAGTTGCATCGATGTTCTGAGGGGCCCTGTTACCTTTCAGGGAGTTCAATATCTGTAGCTGCAGGGCTCCTGCTTGGTTTTCAGTTTTTATTTCCCAACCGGGTTTACAAAACAGCTCTCAGCACTTCTGGGTTTCAGGAGGGCACACGCCAGGCTGGGTGATGCCCTTGAGATTCCCGTCCTTGCCCTGGAGAGCTTTGAAGCTGCCTGAGTTTCTCCGGCAGCCCCTGGGCCTCATCTCTCTGGGGTCTCCCCTGTCTTTCCCATTGGCAGTTCCTCAATGTCTCAGGTGCAAGTACAGGTCCAGTTCTTTCTTTGCCAGTTAGATTTCAGTCGGGTGAGTCCCTTAATTGTTCTCGCTGTTTATTGCTCAAGGGCATGAGGCTAAAGGACTGCTGAAATCCAGCATTCACCTGGACTTTCAGGAAGGCAAGGAATGGACCAGAGGGGGCTGTGATCACTGCCTGAAGTTATGAATGAGCACCAGGCAAGCACCAGGCAAGTGCCGCTGAACCACACCCCAGCCCATGGCCAGGTAGTCTTGAAGGACAGAAAGCCTGGCCTTTCCAGCTCTCTTCACGAACACAGAGGCACCGTGCACAAGTAAGTGTGCTGACTGGAAAGATGGAAGACTATAACACGCCGTCGTGTACATCTGTAGAGGGACGATCAGCCACTGAAAACCAGGTTGAAGAGTCTGTAGTGAAAAGGAGGCAGCTTGACTTTTAGTCTGTAAAAGTAACACCAATCTACATGTGTCAAGGGAAAAGAGTGGAAGTTTAAATGTCAATAGGCTGGGGTTGTGGCTCAGTGGTAGAGCACTTGCCTAGCATGTGTGAGGCACTGCGTTTGATTCTCGGCACCACATACAAATAAATAAAATAAAGGTCCACGGACAATTACAATAATTAAAAAAAAAAGGCTAATGCTGTCTCCCTTTTGAGTGGCTAAGTTGCGGGTGTGCGGGTGCCACTGTTTCTGGGGCAGACTGCCTGGGTGGATTCAAGTAATTCACGGGTAATCCCTTACTCTGTGCCTCAGTCTCCTCATCGCTAATAATAATGGCACCAGATTTTTTAAATATCACAGACTTGTCAAAGAAACCAGAAACAGAAGATTTTGAAAAGGACAGGAAAAAATTTATTTGTAGAGAGTGCAAAAGAGTCAGACTTCAGGGCTGACTCTCCAAATAAAAAAATATAACAGTAGCATTTAAAACTGACAAATAGGTCAAATTACCATAGCTACTATGGTGGGTTGAATAATGGTGGTGCTCAAAAGATATGTCGGTGCCCTAACTCTAAACCCCTATGACTGTGGGACTTGGCTTGGAAAAAGGGCCTTTGCACATGTAATTAAGGATCTCAAAATGAGGTGACCCTGGATTATCATAGTAGGCCCCAAATCCAATGACAAGTGTCTTATATAAAAGAGACAACAGAACAAGGGAGACAGAGAAGGCCAGGAGCCAATGGAGGCAGAGGCTGGTGCAATGCAGCCACCATCCGCTGAAAGAGACAAGGAAGGATTCTCCCCTAGAGCATCCAGGGGACAGGTCCCGCCTGACACCTTGGTTTTGGACTTGTGACTCCAGAACTCTGAGACAATACATTCTGTTGTTTCAAGCTGCCAAGTTTGTGGTTGTTTGTTATTGCAACTAGAAAACTAAAAACCACTGCTAGTCGCTGCTATACTAGCTGCTCTTCTCATGGAAAAGCTATAACTTCTCATGTGATTATCGTACCTTGAAGACCATATACATCTTTTTATTTTTTATTGTTTTTTTTAGTCATACATGACAGGAGGATTCATTTTGACATAATTATGAAAGCATGCAATATATCTCATTCTAATTCAGTCCCCAGAACCCCTCCTTCTCCTTCTCTCCCCCTAATCTCATCTCTTCCTTTCTGCCATTTACCCATAGTTATTTTTTAAAAATTCATTTCTTGTGGATGTACATGATGGTGAGATTTTCACTGTGGTGTATTCATAGATGTAGACAGGAAAGTTGTGTCAATTCATTCCACTGTCTTTCTTTTTCCCATCCTTCCTCCCTTCCTTTCCTCTTTGTCTACTCCATTAAACTTCAATGGTTCTCCTCCTGCCCCACCCCACTTATTGTAGGTTAGCTTTCTACAAAGCAGAGAAAACATTCGACCTTAGGTTTTGGGGATTGGCGTATTTCACTAAGCATGATAATCTTCAGATTCATCCATTTACTAGCAATAGTCATAAAGTCATTCTTAATGTCTGAGTAATACTCCATTGTGTATATGCTTTCTTTACCCATTCATCTATTAAA